AGCTTCAAACACTCAAGCTGAGTATGAAGCTCTATTGGCCGGATTAAGGCTGGCCGAGGACATGGGCGCATCAAGAATCAAATGTCGGACCGACTCCAAAGTGGTGGCCGAGCAAGTTGGCGGAAATTTCCAAGTAAAGGACCACAACATGATGAAATACTATCATGCCTATCAAAAACTGAAGGCGAGCTTTCAGGAGGTGTTGGTCGAGCACATCCCGCGCGACGACAACGCCCGTGCCGATTAGTTGGCGAGGTTGGCCGCGACCAAGAAGTCAGGCCATTTGAGAACAATCATTCAACAAGAGATCGACCACCCCAGTGTCGAGGCTGAAATGGTAGCAAGTGTCAATGCCGACCTGGCCGACCCTGACGACCCCCCAGATTGGCGAGACGAACTCAAGGCATTTCTCACTAGCGGAATCACATCAGTCGAACCGACCGAGGCCAAATGGTTGAGAACTCAAGACAGTAGATACGTCGTAATTGCCGGCCGATTGTATAAACGTGGCTTCTCTACCCCGTTGCTTAAATGCCTAAACCCCGCCGAGGCCGATTACGTGATGAGAGAAGTACACGAGGGTATTTGCGGGATGCACTCAGGAGTTAGGACGACCGTCTCCGAACTCTTGCGAGCCGGGTACTATTGGCCAACCATAAACACTGACTGCGCAATGTTCGTGAAGAAGTGTCAATCGTGTCAAAAGCATGGCAACATGATCCATCAGCCGACCGAATAGTTACATTGCATTCCCCCAGCATGGCCATTCGCCACTTGGGGGGCCGACATACTCGAACCCTTCCCGGTTGCCAAGGGGCAATGTAAGTTCCTCATCGTCGCCGGTGACTTTTTTGATTTTTTATTCTAAATATCATTATTAAATATCACATCTATTAAATATAAACAAACATTCAAATTTATAATTCTAGTAACTCTTTTCCAATTGAAAATATGACCAAATTTTCACAATATTTGGTGAAATATCAACTACATGTACATTTTCTTAAAAAACATAACTCGTGTTTTTTCTTTTCAAAATTGTACTTTTAATTTTTTCTATTTTTGTTAATCCAAAATTTTAATATTTTATTTTAAAATAAAGACATTTGGTCCCCATATTTTAAAAATAACAAAATTTAGTCTTACTCTCAATTTAATGTTCATCAATTATGAAATTTTGACTTTATTCAATAACTTATCAACATGATATTTAATTATGTGATATATAAAAATAAAATTAAAATAATGTATACATTAATTTTTTGTTTGTATATATTTTAATGAGTAAATAATATTTATTTTATTAATAAATTTTATTGACATGATTTTTTTTAATTTCTAAATATTATATTACAAAATGTTACATCACTTAAATATGAGTAAATATTTAAGTTTAATGATTAATATTTATTAAAAAGTGTTAACTTGACACGTCTCTATTTAAAAATAGAAAATTAAAATTAAAATTAAAGTATAATTTAATTTTTTAATGAAAAAACATGACTCGTTCTAGTGACAAACAATTGAATTTATAACAAAAATAAAGCCTTCTAAATTTTAATTACATGCAAACATAAGTGGCTCTCGTAACCTATATAAAGTTTGTCTAAATAAGAGAGTATTTATTTCCAATTTAATTAAAGTTCGCCATGGTCTCAATCAACTGAAATTAACACCATTAAACATTTTACCTTTACAAATAACACTTTAAACACTTTGTTTTTGAAAAATAAAAAGTCATTTCATCCCATTACTTGTTTTAATTAGTTTCCAATTAACATAAAACAGTGCACCAAGATCAGCCCTGGTTTTTTTTTTCTCTTTTAAGACGGTGTCCTCAATTTTTTAAGTATTATTTTAATATTTTTTTATTATAATTTATTTTTACATCATATTATAAAATTATTAAAATATCAAAAATATTATTAGGACCATTTACAATAAATATATCTCATTTAGTATTATTTTTTTAATAATTTATCTTATAACTCACTTTTAAAGTTATTTCATGTTATTAAATCATAAATATTTAATAAAATTTATTAATTAGGTTTTTCAATATAAATATGTTAATTTTTATCATTAAAATATTTAATTTTATTGTAATAATCATCTTCATTTTTAGTATATTTAATTAAAATATTAGATTCTTCATTATTTTTATATAATTCTTCATTCTCAAAATCTTTAGCTCTGAAGTTTAAATTATCATTATTTGCATCAGTTTGAAAAAAAGAATATAGGATGTTTAACAAAAAAAAAATATCAAGTACACACTTTTGAGAATCAATATCAATTTTAATTAATTTATTTCTTTTCCATTTTAGATGATAAGATGAAAGTTGTTTTTTATGCAACATGTTCAAACCAAAATAATTAAACAAATATAGAAAAAAAAAAACCTAAAATATATAATATATTATTCAAATTATAGGTCTTTAATAGATAATTGACAATTAGTTGAAATAATGATATCATTTTTATTTTAGACTCTCAATTTGTTGCAATAAAAAATAAAAATAAACAACCGTGGCATGCCACAAAAAATTTACACTGACTAACAAATAGTAATTTTTAATTTAATTTTAAGATTTTAATAAAACATGAGAAATCTTGATAAAAAAATTGTGAGAGAATCAAATAATTATATATATATATATATATATATATATATAAATAAAGAGAAAGAGAGAAATTAAAAAATAATCTTTATTTATATCAATAAGAAAAAAATAAATTAAATTAATAATATATTATATTATATATCTACTTTCTTCTTTATATTTAATATTACCAATTTATTTTCTTAAAATTACAAGTAAATTTTTATTCAAAAATAAAAATATTATATATCAATTAATTTATTTATTTTATAGTATTATTTTTATATAATTTAATTATGCATATTTTTTTATTTATATAAGTTTTTAAAAAATTGGTGTTCTTCTAAAAATAAGTTATTGAACGGTGGTCCATCTTTACCGTACACAGACCAACAATTCATTGCACGTTTTAAACAAATCATTAACCAAAACGAAAGTTGGACATGATGTTTAAAATGAAGGTGTGCCCAAGGATACGAGTATTACTTTTCAAAAACCACATTAACGTACACTTTGTTTTAAGAAAATTGTAATCATATTTTTTTTCAGAATAATATAATTAGAAATGTTATTTCTAAAAATATTTTAAAAAAAGTATTTAGTTTATTTTAATATTTTTATGAATGATTTCAAAAACTTCAAAAAAATTATATGAAAAAATAAGTTACAAGTGCTATATAAAATAACTTCCAATATTTTTGTAAAAATATCACTTTCTTACCTCTTTACTGTTCTACCATAAAAATAAAATCTCTATAAGAATATAACTTTCATGAGAATAAAAGGTTCCCAAAAATTTTATTGTATGACCTTTTAACAAACATTAAAATGTGACAAACACTTGTCACAATATTAGAAGATAACATGTTTCTTAACAATTGGTAACGAATGATCAATTGTCACAATTTATTTATATAAGGTGTGTATAGGGGTGAGTAGATAGACTTAAATCCACGGGTCGATTTGTAAGTTCGCACTTCGTGATAATAGAACTTTTTTTTTTTAACTTATATAATTATATTTAATTTTTGATTTGTAAAGTTTACATACTTAAAAAAAACTTAATTTGCGGACTTACATACTAACATATAGACTTCACTAATTAATTTTTTATATATTAAAAATTTAATATTTAGTTATGTATTTAAATTTTTAAATTACCATAACATTAAAACTATGTTTAATTGATGTGTATTTACCATTTAAATTATTTTTAAGATACTTTGATGTTTTTATTATTGAAAGTTTAAGATTATTATATAAGTATTGGTAAATTTTAGTGTGATAGATTTTAACTTAAAAATAAAATAAATTTTTCACCAAAAATAAAATAAAATACAATTTTATTTATTTATATTTTATTTTTTAAAATATTATTATTTAAATTTGTGGACCAGTCTAATTATCTGCATGTGTGGACGAGTCAAATACAAATTTTAAAAAAAATCAATTTATTTTATAAATTAGACTTGTCAGACCCATAAAATACAAATTTAATGAATTGAACGTTTAACGAATCGGATTCATCCATATATCCACTACACAAAGTAATTAAGGATGAGTTTAATGATTATATATGGATAATATAAGTTATTTTTATTTTACGGACTAATTACAAATAATAATATATATAATTTTTATAGTGTATAAATTGTTTTGTCATTAGTGAATGGGAAAATACGTTTGGCTTTGTTGTAGAACCCTATTCTATGCATATGCTATATCAAACATGTAACTTTCGGAGTGGCTAAAAATTACATTTGTTTTGAAGTGTGTATGCGAAATTCTTCACATGGGTAGATGGGAGGACGTCTTGGACATGGTAACTTTTTCCTTAATTTGATGTTTGGCAAACCAGTTATAAAAGCACTAAAGTTAACAAAAAGCCTAAAAGAGTAAAATTTGGTAACGTGAATCCGCACCAGTTACAACCAAATTACTCTTCATAGTCATCAAGTGCCCAATTCGCAAAAAAGTTACTCGGTCTATTGCCAATTCTCAGCGGGAACACAAAAAAGTGAGCAACAACAGAGTTTAATTAAAATAAAAAGAAAAAAGTTTTGCGTACGAAACACAGAAGAGGAAATGGCCCAATAACCAAACGGCACGAACCACCCCTCGCTCCGCGCGCACGCGCACACTCACAGTCTGCACCCCTATATCCATATCCACACCAACACTCTAAAAGTTAAAAAGGCCATATTATTTAATCACTATTTTCATATCTCACTTACAACTAGTTAGTCTAAAAAAAAAATTAAATTTAATCCTCTAAGTTAAATTTTGTAATAATAATAATAATATTGCTACCTCATTAAATTAATTTTATTATTAAGGAAGAATTTATATTTAATTTTGGTGAGACGAAAAAAAGAGGAGGAAGGGGGTGAGAGTATAAAAGGCAAGTGTCGACCAAAATCCAAGAAACCTAACAGAAAAATTGGCCAGATTTTTTGCAACAAACGAAAGGCGGTGGCAGAGCACTTGTATGGTTAGCTGAGCGAGGAAACGCAGTCGTTTTGGTATCGGTTGGATTGAGCGGTGTGATGGTGCATGGGTTGAAGGGAGAGAAACTGCTTGCGGAATGGAGTGGGACAGCAATTCCGATCTGAGCGGGGACGAAGAGGAAGGGTTCGTCCTCACCGACGACGGCCCTCTCCCCTTCCCTTTCCCCGTCGGAAACCTCCTCCAAACCGCCCCCTGCGGCTTCGTCGTCACCGACGCCCTCGAGCCCGACCACCCTATCATTTACGTCAACACCGTCTTCGAGATCGTCACCGGCTACCGCGCCGAGGACGTCCTCGGCCGCAATTGGTCAGTTTCCGCTAACTTTAGGTTTTACCTCTTTTTCGCTTTTCACTCAATTCAAATTCGCTACTGCAATCCAATCCGTAGTTACCGCTTTCTGCTGTCGTAATTTTAGTCGAATTCGATTTGTTTATATTTTTGGGGAAATTAAGAGGTATTCGGTTCTGTCGCGGTTCATTCCGCGGTGCTTCTGCTTCTATGGTTAGGACTTAGGAGTCAGTCAAGTACAATTTACTGCTTATAAGTGTGTGGTGAGGTCAGATAGTGTTGAACATGTGCAGGAGCTGCGGGATTAACAAATGCTTTTGAGCAAGTCAGTACTGTGTTGGTGCTCCAAGGATTAGGATGGTTAGGCTGATAGTGAACATCAAACTGTGTGTGTTTGGAGCTTTTTGACTAGTACTGAATTAAGAAACTCTGCTGTGGTTAAGAAGAGATTATGGAAATACAAATATGGTTGCTCCAGACAGTTTTTTTCGAATAAAGACTTGGGCCCTTTTTGGTAAACTTTTCAATAAACACTTATATAGTAGAAAAGCCCAACTTATATGTTAAAATCAACTTATGCACTAAGCTTATATGGAAGCTCTCTCATTTTACTTTTTCTAAAGTTTATATGAACTTGTACATAAGCTAATTTTAATTTGTGGGATAAGCTTAATTCATTTTACCTTATTATTTTCCTCTCCATATATCGAGAACTCCTCCATATACTGAGTCTATGTTATCTCAAGACTGAGAAGATGAGATACAAGTTACCCCAAATTGATGAGGCTACATATCATAGAGTTCAAAATAGAGTAGAGGAGTGCTATAGAAAATCATTTTGTAATTGATTGAAGAAAAGATATTATCAAATTGTATTGATGGATCAGATGCTTTATATATAGAGCTAATTATAACTAACAATCATCGTGTGTCGATGGATTCTCATTGTTTTCTGGCTTTCATTATTAGAAGTCAAGGTTGGGAATCCGAAGACTGCTTTGTGTATTGAAAGCTTCTGAATAGCAAAAGCTAATACACAAGGTGTAAGGACTGGCCTCATTACTGTTTTCTGTTTAATTTAGATATTTGACCACTGAATGTATTATTTTGTGGGGAAGAGCTCAATCCTCCAAATAAAAGGCTCTCTAGCCACAAATGTACCCAACTTTCTTGTCAGCCACTGCAGTTGGTGAAGGCTTACCATTGTGATTTCTTAGTGATTCCTTGTTTTGTTGTCATTATACCAAAAAGTATTAATCCCTCCACATTCATATATAAGCAAAAAATTTTGAATGATGGTCTAAAGTATAAACAAATCTAACTAATTTCACCGCTATTTAATGACAGTATCTCTAAAATACCCTTCATTTGATTCAGATTTTATTTTCAATGACCCTTTTTTATTTATGATATCAAGGTCCAAAAAGGGCAATTTAGGAAAAAGTTCATTTTTTTAATTGAAATTAGTAAAAATAAGTGATGTCAACTAACTTTCTTAATTTATGTGTAATTAGTTATATTTGTTTATATATGGGTCCAAAGGGAGTGCTAGTTTGACATTCTAGTGCATTTCCATTTCTCCCGTTGCTTGGGGTGATTCTCTGCATTAATTTTTGTGGGGGCAATAACTTGTTTACATTGTGTTTCCTAGAATTTGGGCTTAGGACCTGACTCAACTACACAAAATCAGTTTTTAAGGTGATGTTAGGACTAAATCACAACCCTTGAGTCTACAATCAAGGTAGGCACGAGGTGACCTCAATTAAGGAAACTTTACAATAGTATTGTTATGAGGACTTGCTACTGATTAATAATCATATCTATGATTTGTTGCGGTGTGATAAAATACGTAAAACTGTAAAAGTATGAGTGTGTGAAACTGTTATCTCTTTAGTACAGAATTCACAATATAAAAAAATTATCTTTGAATCCTCTCATGTAGTATGGCTATGTGGGGATTTCCTTTGGGTTTTCCAATAGAGCGAAGAAAAGCATATTATCATGTAAGCAACTTCTTGTATTGGCATGGAGTCCTGATTCCCAAGTGAAAACTCTTAGAATTTGAGATAAAAATCTAACTCAAATCTACAAAATTGGCTTGTAAGGTGGGGATTGCTTAAGCTTTATAAGCACTACTTAGACCTTATCACTATGACACTTTGCTCACCTTTTCTGGTTAGCCCTTTTCGGTACACTTGTAGGCTAGGGGTTATCTACAAAATTAGCTTGTAAGGTGGCTTTATAAGCACTACTTAGACCTTATCACTATGACACTTTGCTCACCTTTTCTGGTTAGCCCTTTTCGGTACACTTGTAGGCTAGGGGTTATCTACAAAATTAGCTTGTAAGGTGGCTTTATAAGCACTACTTAGACCTTATCACTATGACGCTTTGCTCAACTTTTCTGGTTAGCCCTTTTCGGTACACTTGTAGGCTAGGGGTTATCGCAATTAAGACGGCTTTCTGGCCCACCCCAACACCCAAGGCTATCAGCTTGGAGTATAGCAATGCAAGTGGTCCAACAATGGATCTAGGGATGGCAAAAATACCCGTCCCCGCGGGTATCTGCGGGTAAAATCCGCTACGGATAATAAATAAATAGGCTAATTTGGTACCCGCGGATAATAGGGACGGATAATTTTTTACCTGTTTATAAACGGGGCGAGGGTGGGTATGATGATATCCATACCCGCGGGTACTCGTTTAATAATATTTCTTAAATATCCTAATTATCCTTGTACCACATAATCCTAAAACTACACTCTCTCATCTTTTTTTCTTACAAAAGCGAGGTTGATGAAGTTACCAACATGTGTTAAGCATGTTATAGAATTATGTTGGATATAATTTGATTAATTTTTTATCTTTGATTGGACCAATAAAATTTATGTATTTTAAGTTGTTTACTTTCGTTTGGAATTATGAGATTGAATTATTGTAGCTTTGTGATGAGACTTTAACTTACTTGTGAGATTGATGTATTTTAAGTTATTGATTATCTTGCATTTTTATTATTATTTCAACAAAATTAACGTTAAATACAAGTTCAAAATTAACATTGAATTTTTATTTTTAATATTTCAATTACATTAAATATAAACTTAAAATTATTTGTAATATAATTTTTTTAATTTATTAAAAAATTTATAAATATCCATGGATATCCGCGGGTATTCAAGAAATTTATGGATACCCGCTTAATGGATACTCGCGTGGATATGGAGTGGGTATGAGGCCAATTTTCATCTAGCGGGGCGGGGGCGGGTTTACTATTACCCACTCCCATGGGGCCCCATTGTCATCCCTAAATGGATCTAAGATAACTCTAATACCATTTTAGAATTTAGGTTTATGGTCTAACTCAATTTAGCCTATTAAATCAGTTTGTGAGGTGAGAATTGTCCAAGTTTTATAAGCACTACTTGGGCCTTATTTTTGGTCAATGTAGGACTAAACCCTCTTGAGAATCAATATCTCGGTGGCTTCATACTATGATGCTTCACTTGAGGGGTGTTTGATACAAGGCATGTTTTTAGCTTCCTAGGAATATGAAGTTGAGAAAGTTTGTTTTTTTGGGAATGGTTTTTACCTATGCTTCTCACAAAAAAAAATTCACAGGGGAGGTGAGAATTTAACTTTTCCTAATTAGTTTTTTTCTTTTACTGTGGTAGAAATATAAGATTACCTTTATTAGCTCATTTAGTGTGATAAATAATTAAAGCTAAATGTAAAAAAAAAATTGATTTCCTAGAAACATAAATATTTGCAATAATATTATATCAGCTAAACACACGTGTATCATTCTAGAAATCATGATTTTTGAAATTCATGATTCGCAAGAAGTATAATTCCCAATCATGAAGAAATTTCCCTTGTACCAAATGTGCCCTTAGCTTTCTAGTTAGCCCCTCTGTAGATAGTCCTTTTTGAGATATTTGTGGGCTAAGGCTAATCACAATTAAGACAACTTTCCAACAAAAACTTCTTGCATCACTTTCACATAGCAGTCGGGCATCCATGTAATGCAAACTTTTTTATTCCCTTTTAAAAAGATCACCAGCACTAAAATTGGTATATGATTTACTAGCAAGTAGAAGGGAAAAAATGATTAAATTCCAATGCTCCATGGTAGAACAAGATTTTGGATCAACTTAATATTTATCATTTTTGCTTTGCCCTCTTTCCTTTGAGTCTTCACTCTTCAGCTTTTTTTTAATAGGGAAATTATCTCTTGTGCATACTTTACCATGTATCCCTAATTTACCAAGGGAAAGAAGTATTAGTTTTGAAGTTTGTTCTTTGGTATGTAGAGTGAGTAATGTTTTACTACCTTGGAGAAATAAAGGAAAGAAAAGAATGCAGAAGAGCCATTTTATTTGAGCAAACAAACAATACTTTCTGGCTATTTGACACATCTCTTACTTCCTTGAGTCTCTGTCAGTGTATTGCTTGATATTCATAATTCAATGTTTTTTTAATCATTTCAAAATATTTGGCAGTCGATTCTTGCAGTGTCGAGGTCCATTTGCTAAGAGAAGGCATCCATTGGTGGACTCAACAGTAGTTTCAGAAATTAGAAGATGCCTTGAAGAGGGGATTGAATTCCAAGGTGAGTTGCTGAACTTTAGGAAAGATGGATCTCCTCTGATGAACAGATTGCGGCTGACTCCCATATATGGAGATGATGAGACTATAACACATGTCATCGGAATACAGTTCTTCACAGAGGCAAACATTGATCTTGGTCCTGCTCCGGGTTCCACAATTAAGGAACCTGCTAAATCATCGGATCGATTTCATTCTTTGCTTTCCTCATTGCGTACTCTTCCAGTGGGGGACAGGAATGTATCTCGTGGAGTTTGTGGGATTTTGCAACTGAGTGATGAGGTATTGTCTCTCAAGATACTTGCTCGATTAACTCCTAGAGACATTGCATCGGTTAGCTCTGTCTGTAGAAGATTATATGAGATGACAAAAAATGAAGATCTTTGGAGAATGGTGTGCCAAAATGCATGGGGTAGTGAGACTACACGTGTTTTAGAGACTGTGCCTGGTGCGAGGAGACTTGGATGGGGTCGGCTGGCAAGAGAATTGACCACTCTTGAAGCAGCAGCATGGAGTAAGTTGACTGTTGGAGGTGCTGTTGAACCCTCACGCTGTAATTTTAGTGCTTGTGCAGTTGGTAATAGAGTTGTGCTTTTTGGTGGTGAAGGGGTTAACATGCAACCTATGAATGACACCTTTGTATTGGATCTCAATTCTAGTAATCCTGAGTGGCAACATGTCCAGGTAAGCTCTCCTCCTCCTGGTCGTTGGGGCCACACGCTTTCTTGTGTTAACGGTTCTCATTTGGTTGTATTTGGAGGCTGTGGAAGGCAGGGCTTGCTCAATGATGTGTTTGTTCTGGACCTGGATGCTAAGCCTCCAACTTGGCGAGAAATTTCTGGATTGGCACCTCCACTTCCCAGATCATGGCACAGCTCCTGTACTCTTGATGGTACTAAGTTGATAGTTTCTGGGGGTTGTGCAGATTCTGGAGTACTCTTGAGTGACACTTTCCTCCTTGATTTGTCAATGGAGAAGCCTATCTGGAGAGAGATACCAGTGGCATGGACCCCGCCATCTCGTCTGGGCCACACATTATCTGTTTATGGTGGTAGGAAAATTCTGATGTTTGGGGGTCTGGCCAAGAGTGGGCCCTTGCGTTTTCGTTCGAGTGATGTATTCACGATGGATTTAAGTGAGGAAGAACCTTGTTGGAGATGTGTAACGGGGAGTGGCATGCCTGGTGCTGGAAATCCTGGGGGCATAGCACCTCCTCCTAGACTTGATCATGTTGCTGTTAGTCTTCCAGGTGGGAGAATTCTAATATTCGGTGGGTCTGTTGCTGGGCTTCACTCTGCCTCTCAGCTTTACATTCTTGATCCAACCGATGAGAAGCCTACATGGAGAATCCTAAATGTACCTGGGCGCCCTCCCAGATTTGCCTGGGGACATAGTACATGTGTTGTTGGAGGGACAAGAGCTATCGTACTGGGTGGTCAAACTGGGGAGGAATGGATGCTAAGCGAACTCCATGAACTTTCTCTTGCGAGTTCTCTTGTCTAAATTCAGTGAATAAACACTGCTTGCAGTAGTGAAGGGAATAGTACATGTCTCTGCTTCAAGTTTAGAAATCAATTTAAACATAAGTTTGCGGGAAAGGTTATATTGGTCACTAACTCAACAAGCATTGCTCTGGTCAGAAATCAGAATATGTGTGTATTAAGTTGTTACGACTATGCATTTGCTTGTATGGTTGGGTTGGTTCTGGCTCGAGAAGAACTTCTTGTTGAGTGATATGAGACGATGTTTTTTGCGAGGTTGTGCGAGACTTTGCTCTTCAATACGCATAATGAATTATTCTTCCTGAACAAATTATTAGGGGTAATATGTTAGGGTAGTTTCTCACTTGATTTCCCATGTGTTGTTTTGTTCAAATTCTGTAATTTGAACCGCGACAAAGAGAAAAAGAAAAAAAAAAGTATGTTTAGTCCCGTAATTAGATCTATCATATTTGATGGAAATCATTACTGTTATTCTATGCCTAAAATGTTTGTACATTTATTTAGATTGTGCTGTGGCTGGTTGGTTAATACATAGGCATGTGTTTCCATTTTATGCTGGGCAAGCTGGGCTGGGTGATTGGGTCTCTGTTAGATTTTTATTCTATTGAGTATTGGCCAACAGAAATTCCTCGTTATATTAAGTTCTGTTGCGTGGCGCAGTCTGCACATGTCATGTTTTTTTTCCCAGAATCTGGTAGCACCACCGACTATTGTCAACATATTTTTTAAAGAGAACTTTGAAAATATAAATGTTTATAATAAAAAACGCTTTCAAATATGTGCTAATATTGTATTTTTGGTATACTTGGTTTACATTGTGTTCAATTTTAGATTTTAAGCTTTTTAGTCAATTCAATTTCTATATTTCAAACTAAGTTTTGCTATCATTTCTTTCACATAAAATATTCAAATCCCCTTTTTACTCTTTTTTTTTACAAATTAAAGTGATTAAATAATTTAAATAGTTTTTTATTCCAAATTTATCAATTAAAACATCAAATTTAATTAAAATTAAAATATCTAAAAAAAAACTAAATTTTCAAATCTTAATATCATATTCTATAAAGTTTTTAATGTTTATTATTTTTATTAAATTTTTTTACTTCTAATTTTAAAATTTTTACATCTCAAGTACATATATATAGAGTGAGACATAAAATTATAATTTGAAGGTTTTAAATGGAAGTAAATTAATAATAGGACAAAAAATGTTTAATTCTAAAATTGAACGAATTTGGTTAACTAAAATTACATATATATTTCAAATTAATGTGATAAAAAAATTCATGGAACTTGATAACTAATCTCTTAAGCATTCAAACCACTATACGCAAAACAATCAATGAAACTTGGAGTTTTGAACAACATAACACTAATATTGTTTTTTTCTAAGGGAAAATAACACTAATAGTAGTTAATGAAAATCATGACAGTGTATGACATAAAAATGTATATCTCTTTGATAATGGAAGAAGAATGAAACATTTTAAAAGAGGGTGAAGAAGTGTGTTATATGGTTCTGGAGAAGTTTGAACTGCGCTAAAGTAACTCAATAAAATAATACATTAAAAAAAAATCGTACACAAAATATTACTATTTGTAGTTTGCTATTCATTTTTCATGGGTCTTAATATCTTATGAAAAGTGATATTTGTACAATAAATTGTATAATAATGTGTATGATTAAGAACATAAAATAAATAAAAAAGGAGCACAATCTAAAAATATATTTTAACATTAAAAAACGTTATTTGGCATTGTCAAAAAGATTTCGATAATTAAACATCCTTTTAATTAATGCAGAAAAAAGACGAAGTCAAAGAAAAATTCCTTGAATAAATCGTGCTGAATTTTGTTGAAAACGATCAACTTAAGTAAAGTGGTGGTTTGTAATTTGTAAAGGGACAGGGCATCAGCATCTCATAAAAGCTTTCTAATTGAAAAGCATTGAGAAATTGCCGTTGCCATTGCCATTGCCATTGCAGTTTTTACATTACTTTGTAAATGGCTTTATCACAAAAAAAGTGAATTGCTTTAATGCAACACAATAATAAAATAAAATAAAATAAATAAAAATAAAAACGTAGAGTTGAAAGAAAGAAAAGAATGAAAAAAGAAAAAAGAAAAAAGAAAAAAGAAAAAAAGTGAAGTACATATGAGATAGGAAGACATAAAATCCAACATAGCGCACTCACAGACACACTCACTCTTTCAACGCTTCACTCACTCTCCGACCAAAATGCCGATCAACACCGAATCTACGCCGCCGCCGGTGATCGGAAAAATCGGCCCCTACACCGTTTTCATGACGCCGCCCTCGACGCCCAAACCCTCCGAGTCAGACGCCGTTCCCACCACCAAGATCGCCCCTCCGCCGCCTCAGATTCCGAAAACCGTTCCTTCCCCCAAACCCCTCTCCGATTCCGACGATTCTTCCGTTTTTGGCCTCTTCAGGAACGCCGTTACCAAGGTCCAAACCGGTGCGTACTTTACTCTTTTTCACTCTTAGGTTAGGTTAGGTTCCAATGTTTCACGCGGTTGGAAAATTAAAAATGTAAATTAAATCAGGTGCTGGAGCTGGTCTAAGTCTATGTCGCTTTTAGGTTATTTGGACTTTTAATTGAGTTGTTGTAAAGTGTGTGTGTGAGTGACTTGGTCCATGTTCCTTATTATACTTGAATCATGACACTGTCTATTTTTAGAAACACTTTGATTTGATATCTGAAAAATATGTGTGACTCCGGAGTTATGATAATGTATGACCTAGTTTTGTGGGAATCTTTTTGGCTGTTAGGATTCTTGTTGGTGTTTACTCTTTTGGACAAAACGCATCTTAAAATACGCTGAGATATATTATATATATTCTCTCTTCTCTTTACGTGCTGGCGTCAACCACGAAGATAAGTCTCAAATAATGCGATGGCTAGTTATGGTCGAACGAGTGTTTTCTGGAGTACTGAATATTTGATATTAGTTGCTGTCTAGTATGCACTTTGTTGCTGTTGAGGGTGCATTCAAGCTCCAGCTTTTTATAGCAATACATTGTGTATGAAAAAGTCAAAAAACTATAAACTTTGCATAGAAATAAGAATAATGTTCTGTGGACATCCCAATGCCCATCGACATCTAGAGGGAGAATTCATAGATGTAATAAGTGATATGATTTGATAAGAAGAGAGAGATAGGGAGAATTGGAGGTGTCAAATAGATTTCTTTTGGTACATTGTCAAATGGATGTTTGTAATAATGGGGTGTCCATGTATCAATCAATATTCTGAAAATAAATCTATGGCTGTAAAATCTAGTGTATCTGTGCACTAAACTAAGATGGGTGCATCTTAGAATCCATCATGATATTTGCATAGTGTTTGTTGCACAGACATTTTGTTCTGTTTTGTCGTGTTTGATTTAATTCTACTCTTAATAGTGGGAGCCAAAAACTTATCACTTTTTTAACTCATGTCCTGTTTTGTTATTTCTTTGAATTTTATCGAACATTAAATAGAACCATTTGTTATGTTCTACCTGTTTTAACACTTTTAGCAAATGCTCCCTAGAAGTTTGATAATTTTTTCTATAAACTGGTGCATTAAGTAATTTTGTATGTATTCTTATTTTCTTTTGAAAAAGAACTAGTGATTGAAGATAACAACCAGCGGGTCCTTTGTTTTCCCTCTATCTGGTTTGCAGTAGTAGTGAAAATAAACATATTGAAGAATGGGCATGGAAAGTGGAAACTGTGGCTGAGCATTTTATGAGAACAATGCATTCTATGTTTTCCTTATTCTATTAAAGGAAAATCTAGGTGATTGTTCCTGTATGTTTGATGCTTTTCAATCTGGTTGAGGAACTGCATTGATGTTTTGGATTGCACAAAAATCTATGAATAACTGAATATGCATGTATTGCCCCCTTTTTCTATTTTGATTTCAGATCATATAATACAATACATCTTTGATTGAGGCTTTTCATGAGCTTGTTTATTCTTCTAAGTAAATAATGATACCTTTCTTGTTACAGCCCACTCAAGTTTGGATGATCATTTGGCACGTTGGTTTGGATTGAATCAGTCAAAGTATCAATGGGCTCTTGATGATTATTATGAGAGCAAGGGAATGGTAAGAAATTGATTGATACTAATATTTGCAAGATTTGTGCTTATATGCCTTTATACTTGGATATTCTTCTGCATGTTTTGATGTGACTCCCTTTGGTAGTTTGATTTGAACCAATGTTACTAAATTTCTGGTTTCATCTAAGAAATCGCACATTGGTTCATGTGTACCTTTTCTCAGTTCATTTGTGAATTGGGTTGCTCCCATTTGCAATTTGATACTTTAAATATGATGAGCTGAAGCTGAGGTAGAAGATGTAGGGTGTTGGATCCTCACATGGTAACATTTGGGTTTGGAATTTCCTAGTTTGGCTTTCAGAGTGAAAGGAAAACACTGATGGAAAAGTGTGAGAATGAAAAAGAAAAGAGGGCCTTTTGTGGGAGCCATGTTGTCAAAATTACGAGTTAACAAGCATACTCGAATGTTATGAGTTTCACACAGGTTGACGAGCAAACTCGGACCTGGGATTGCAAAGGGAGTGGAATTCTGGAGGATCACGATCTTAATCTTGAACTGTGTGGATCGTTGAGTTTTAACGATTCATAAGTGATTTTTTCTGGATATTTTTTCAGTGACCCAGTTTTGAAAATGCCAAAACAAAGTCGCTTGGGCTTTCTAGGTCAGGTTTTGACTGGCCCAGTTTTTTAAAGCACGGATCCATCATGCTAACCGCTACAATTCACCTTTTGCAATTTCAAAGCACTACTCAATACTTGTTGTGGGACTCTATCAACCTTGAGTGATGAAGTGCGATTAGACTCAACCTTTCCACCTTGTCATTGTCAGCACCAACACCATCTTCTATTGTGCGACCCTCTCTGTTTTGCTATGATCTGTTTGTTGTGCGACATTTCTTTCTTGGCTGAGGGTTGTGGGTTGCGTTCTTGGTTGTGTTTTTGCTTGTGTTGGACTGTTGGTGCATGTTTGGGTGATCTTAGGTTGTTTTCTGCAGATTGGGTTTATCACTTATTGCTCTATTTTTATTAAATAGAAGTTAAATAATAGTGGGTTTAGGGTTAGTGATTTGGGATAGTTATAATAGCAAAATAAGTTTAAAAAATGTGTACACAAAAACTTTATATTCCCTTTATATATAGTTATAGATGAACCTATTTTGAGTTATGTATTGGAACTTAATAACTTTATAATTAATTGAGTTATGAGTTACTTTTCTTTTTCTCTGTTATTTTTTATGCATATGCATATGCATGTATATAAATATAATTTTCATTTACACATAACCCTTTCGATCTGAGTTACACTATTTTACGCTCCTTCCATCCTCGAGTTTGACAACATTGTGTGGGAACATGATGAAGTACAATTTGTACTTCTCAATATTGAGGCCCTTTATGGCACGATTTTATTACAGATTCTGTTAACAACTTTTTTCTTTTATTTTTATTCATCCCTAAATATTATGTACTAGTCAATAGATCTTCCTAGCAATGTGCAACTTTACAGTGCTGTATAATTATGACAGCAATCAGGGATCTTGACCTTTATGGTAAGGAGTATGATGCCTTTTCATTATGAGGAATCATAATTTTCTATTACAACTTAATCTGTTATTATCCAACATCCATGACCCGTCCCCCATCTTTGTAAGTCAACAAAAGATTTTCAGATAAACTATCATAGATATGATATATCCTCCCTGTTTCAATAGCATAATTAAATTCTCATCTGACTTACACATCAGTAAGTATCATGGTGTATATCCCTGTACCCTCTGTGTGTGTGTGTGTTGAGCGTGTTTTCACTTTAAACAAATTTTGAGGTTTTGACTGTAGGAAAAAGGAGACATTAAAGTGAAAGAAATATCAAGCAAAGTACAGAATGTTTGACTTGCCTAGAGTTGGTGGTAATCAATACTAACCTTTTTTTTTGTGCAATTTTTGTTATCCTTGAGTTGTATGAATGACCCTTTTAACTTGGTGATCCTTATTGTTATGCAGGATTATTCAAAAGTGAGGTGTGAAGACTCTTGCTTTGAGTATATTTATACTTTTGTATTTACATGTGGAGTAGAATGAATGCGTCTGATATGTCAAAGAGTTATTTGATCTACATCCATTGATATGATTCGATGGTTATTTTCCAACTCCTGCAGTTGAGTTTGATTATTGGACAGTCTCTACCCCTGTAATCTAATTACCAAGTTGTTTTCTGGGGGCAAATGTTTTGTTGTAGTTTCGGTCATGTTTTTGGGCTTCTCATGATGGCAGGGTTGTCTCCTAAGCATTTTGTCTGCCTTATTCTGAGGAGTAAACTCTGCGAAAAGGCGAAAAGTCCTATGCAATTTTATTTCAAGCGATAGTGATTAATTATTTAAAAAATCGTAGTTTATATGTAGTTGACTAATAGTATTCATCACACCTTTTTACAATCATGAAGTTATAAACAAAAGTGGAACATGAGTCAGTTTGTTTAAACATTAAAAAAAAAGTGTTTATAATGGAATTGCATTTTAAGTCTTGAACTCGTGGACTAATATTCGGAATGTCAGTTTCTGATACTCTTGGTATGTGAAGTGGGGTCGGCTTACCATGTTTGAGTTCAGGAGCATAGATATTTGGCGGATGGTACTAGTAAAATGGAACTGTATTGCATAATATTTGTCCTCAATAGGTTTGGTACCTAGGGAATTTAGTTATTCAAGTTATCTGATGATAATTTCATATTGTGATAAAAAAAAAAAAAAAAAAAAAGGGGACTTTACTTTTCTCACCTGCAAACATAATGACGATAAAAAACAAAATCCTAATCGATAATACAATGCAGTTCATATATTTGTTTCTAGCTTTCTTGGAAAGCTTACTTCATAGCAAGGGCGGAGTTAGGTATATATATATATATATATATA